TGATGATGTTCAAGGATATGCTGACAATATGAGAAAACACTACAAACACCAACCTATTGTTGCTACAGACTGGCCACCAAAAATTGGAAAAGATTTCTTTGGAAGACTAGCACTAGTAGAAAAACAAGACTCCAGCACACAAACAAAATCAGCTTGGCATATGCTAAGAGGACAAGTTGATAAAACAGTTAAACTAACTGGTAACAAAGAGATAAGTGTTGAAGATGTCCTCCAACCCACAGATAGTTCCCTGTCTCTCAGAGTAGTAATAGACGGTCCTCCTGGTATTGGGAAGACCACACTCTGTCGTAAACTGTTAAATATGTGGTCTAATGGACCACTTGTACACCAACAGTATGACTTGGTACTGTACTGTCCTTTAAGGAATAGCAAGATAGCTACAGCTACTACACTAGCTGACCTGTTTGAGTATAAAAGTTCCAAACTTTCAAAAGTAGTTGATTGGTTTTTAGATAGTGATGGAGAAGGATTACTGATAATCTTTGATGGTTGGGATGAACTAAGTGAACAACTCAGACAGTCTTCATTAGCTGCTAGTATCATTCATAGAAAACAGTTAGACGAATGTTCAGTAATTGTTACCTCTCGTAGCTATGCCTCCTCTTCACTTTTGAAAATGGATACTCTCAGTAGACATGTTCAGGTCATTGGGTTTTCTAAGGAAGAAATATCAACAGTAATTATACAAACACTTCAAAAAGATACAAAACTAGCACAAGAACTCATTGATGAAAACACTGAACGTCGAGACAAATGGCGAAAACTAGGCATTGGTGAAGTCATTGAACAAGGCAAATTGCAAGAACATTTTGAAAACTTCAGTAAAAACATTAAAGAAGACTTATTGAAACTAATATTATCAACATACAAATCACATTTCACAACTACTCAAAGCAATAAGGACTCACAACTAGCAGTGAAACTCATTAATGATCTTAAAGTACGAAATGATGTCCAATCATTGTGTTATGTACCACTAGTCTGTTCCATGGTCATCTTAGTTTATTGTAAGGAAGGAGGACACTTACCAACAACACTCACTCAACTCTATGAGAACTTTATTCTACAAACTATCAGAAGACATGTTGAAATAAAATCAAAAAGTGACATTAGCCCATATTCTTTAGGTAGTCTTTCTTCATTACCATCACAGTTAGCTAAACCTTTACAAGAGATGTGTCAATTAGCTTATACTAACCTGGCTAATACAAGAATGACATTCTCTTCACATCAACTAAAGTCACAGAGTGAGGCCGCAGTCAAGGAAGACTATCTTGGATTGAT